TCCATTCATATGTCAAAAATGTCATAAATTTATGTATTTCATTTTGTTATCATTGAAAATGATTTCAAAATAAAGATTATTAAATTTTCTCCTTGCACCATTTTTACTTTCTTCTCTCCTATCTAATTTTAACTAAAGTATATTAAAATAAAAAATGACATTGACATTTAAAATATCGTAAAATATTTTTTTTTTTAAAAATTAGTTTTATTTCAAAGTTTATTTGTATTTTATCCACCGTCGCAATATTTTCAAAAAAAAAAAAAAAAATGTAATAAACATGGAAAATGAAATATAGGTGCATAATTTTGTTTTTTAAATTAATTTTTTGACATCATTATAATGAGTCTTATTAATAAAAAAAAAAAAAACAGAAAAATTTCTTTACCACTTGGGTGGCAAAACAATTTTATTTTTTTTATTTTTTTTAATAAAAGAAACTTAAAACAAGAAAATATCATGTTTTTTTAATGATTGTAATTTTAAATAAGTTGACATAAAAATTTGCTCAAACTTGAATTTTCCAGATACATACAACATACACACATATTGTCTCTATACTATAACTTGCTAAAATTTATATAGCTCCTAATGAAAATATTTACAAAATTTTTAAGTTAATATCGTAAATTTAAAATTAACATGCCAGAGCAAAAAAAAAACCAATAAAAAAAATACGTTTTATTTTTTTTTTTTCCAGAAACATTTGATCATAAATTTATTTTTTGATAAAGTGATCTTATATTTAAGTGATACAATTTCGTAATATAACAAGAACCAAAAATTATTCATCGCAAACTATAATGTATAATATATATATATATATATATTAATTTTAAAAAATTCTAGTAAAATTTGATTGACATTTTTAGGTCATAGTTCAATTCATTTAGTCTCGATTTAGTTCAGTTTTATCATTTACAAATATACTGGACTTAAATTGAATTTTGAATTCAGGTAAAATGAAATATACAAATGTGAATCAACTAGTTTGCATGCGCAAGTAGATATAATTTCATCTTGTAATTGCAAAATATGAGAGTAACCTTGTATAACAAAATTTTATATTTCTCCTTTCTTCTATATTCCATTAAATTTTAGTTGCGTAAAAAATTATGTCTCAAAAATTTTTTTTAAAATTCTGTGGTTACAAGTAACAACTACCTAAATCAATTTTTAGCAGTTCCTTATCCATGTAGTGTCAAAATTTCACTAATTAGTATTACCTAATTTATAAAAATACAAAAAATTAAAATGTTATTAAATAAAAACAAAACATTGTATTCTCGGAAACATTTCTTTGAATTAAGCAGTTTTCTCTCAAAACCATAGAATTTTTCTTCATTCATTGATTATTCATTTCATTAACACGAACGGGTATTCTTTAAATTTAGCTGGTTTTTCAATATTTTTTTTTTTTTGTTTTCGTGTATTTCCGATTTAAATTCCCTCTCATTTTTAAATATGCTAACGATTAGTTATTCACAATGCATACCGTTATTTTATATAAAATCTGTGCAAAATTTTATGATATACCTTCGCTCAATCTCAAAACAAAAAATTGTAAATAAAAAAAAAAACTATACTGACCTACTTATTTTATTACTCCAACTACATAAATTTTTTTCTTCTTCATTTTTCATACAAAATGTTAATAAAATCATTTTCAGTTTTTTTCATTTAATTTTTCCTTTTTTTTACCATTTTTTTTTTAAATTACTTTATTGTCTTTTACAAAAGTCTATATAAAAAATATAGAGGGGTACAATATAAATTTAAAATAAAAAAAATTATAATTTCACTTTCACAATTTAAATGAAAAAAAATAAAATAAAATATTTTACAATTTTTTCAACAAAAATTTTGGCAGTAATTAAAAAATTAAATAGAAAACGAAAACAAAATTTTTATCACTAAATTTAATACAAAAAAGTTTTACTAAAAAATTCATCTTAAGTCGGCAAACACAACTTACCATTTTAGGAAAATTCAAGATAATCAAAAAAAAATAAAGAAAAAACAATTGCAATTTTTGTTTGACCGTCTCAATTGGACAATATTGCTGAGATATTTTGAATAAATAAAAAAACAAAAAAAAAATAAAAAAAAAAATTGATTCAATATTGTGAATATATTTTGGATTTTCCAAAAATTGAATTCCAAAAAAAAAAATTAAATATTTGTTATTATTTTTTTAATTTTTATTGTTCTTATTTTCAATCAAATATTCATTTAAGGATTTAAAAATTTCATGAATAACAGATTATTTTATTTTTATTCACTTTAACTTGTATATTATATCAGAAATAAATCAAAATGGTACAATACCATATAATATTTTAAGATATACATAAACGTTTACATTCCGTGACTTCAAAAATGCAGCAACATTGTATTGCTACATTATTTTAGCAATTAAAAGTCATAAGGTCAATTGCGAACTACAGAAATATTGAGCAGAAAGAATTATTAAATAAAATATTAAATCTATTTTGCATCCAATTTTAAAAATAACAGTATGCATTATGAAGTTAAAACTGCATGATGCATTTTTAATAAGTTCCACAAAAAACCATCTGACATATAGATAATATTAAATAAATTTTTCAACTTTATATGAAATTGTTGCGAAAATCGCATATTGTTGAGTTTTTTTGTGATACAATAGAAATATACATTTTCGGATATCAAGGCATTACTTCTTATATCCAGTGCCTAATTATGAACAAAATTTTGTGCTGAATAGATACAGGTACAGACGCCATCCACTACAACTAAATCTGTATTTGGAATACGTCATTTAGAGGTTTATTGCAAATGCGTATAGTCTAGTTTTAAATGAACGCACGATTACATAAGTTCATAACTGAATAAATATTAAAGTTAAAAATAATACGCAATAGTACTGCTTTTGCATATATTACATTTTCGATTACATGAAAATTACTACAACAAATTTATTAATTAAAATATAATATTATAATATTAAATAAATTAATAAAATAAATTAAAATTAATGAAATAATATTAAAATATAAAATATTTCTTCGCAAGTTACGCATTGCAGTTCAATTCACTCATTTATATTACGAGTATTACAATAAATCTTTACAGTTTCAGTTATTCTTCTCCAACTTTTATATATAAATTACAGTAACACAGGGCTATTAACACATTTTATAATATATTACTGCAATTTTGAAGTCATCACTATTTAAACTTATTGTATATATAAAAAAAATTAAGTGATTATTATTATTTTATATTCATTGATATTTCATTCATACAAGTCACATATAAATATTATTAGAGTTCCATATATTATTACAACGGGTATACAACACAATATTTTTATTATTATTTTTTAGTTTTTTAAGTAAAAGGTTTATATTTTGTATTTCCAAATAAGTATGTGAATTTTGTGACCAATATGTACCTACTACGAATATATTATTTTATAACTAATTTTTTATTTATATATTGTGTATATTTTCTTTTTTATCTTACATATTATTTATACTGCATTCGCAGAAAATCACGTTTATTATTCAATTATGAAAACGAGCTCTGAATATGAAATATTTTTTTTATTTTTTTTTCTGTTTTTTGTACACATACGAGTTAAAATCGAATATTTTTGGTATAGTTATAAACTATATGGAGTTTTCAAGCGCCATACAGTAATTTTAAATTGCACTCTTTGGCGGTTTCTTATATACATACTCGTATACACTGCGTTAAATTTAATTTTTGTATTTATTTTTGAATACATTAAGAATTTTTCATTTTTGGCATTTTTTTACAGCTTCATGCTGTATTCTTTCTTTATAAAAAAAAAAAAAACAAATCTTCCATATACCACAAAAAAATTTTTTTTTTTTAGTTTTGGTTTTCTCCAAAAAAAATTTTTGTACAATTATCATAGAAGTGCTAAATGATATTTTGTGTTCAGATGTTTCTCTTTAACTTGATTTCTTATTATTTTTTATTAAATGACAAACAACAAAACGCAAAATAAAATCACTAAAATAAAAATTTAAATCCTATAATTGGATTGAAGAGAATGGATGACATGAAAATGCATAAAATAAAATAAAAATATCGAAAAAAAATAAAAGCTTGAAATCATGATTTTGCCAAAATAAGCTAAACAAACTTGATCTTTTAAATATGTAGCACCCATGACATGAGTTTCCCCATATAATAAAAATATTTTCATCCTTTTTAGACAAATTTTCTGTACATAAAGTTTCATGATTATTTTTATTTCGTTGTTTCTTATTTTTTCATATATTTCAAAAAAAAAATTTTAAATTTAAATTTAGTACTGTACATTTAGTTTACATAATTTATAACAAATTTTCTCAATTTAAATAGTTAATATTGTAAATTTAAGACACCATTTAGAGATAAATATTAAATACGAACTTTGTTATAAAAAAAGAATTTAAAAACTATTACATTTCAAAATACCAATAAATTCATAAATCAATTTCATATTATGTACATATCTTTATTCGAAAAATAAGTTATTTAGGTCGAATATTTAGTAATATTATGGGAGATTATATATACAAAACTTTAAATTTACGCAATAAAGAAACCTTTGAGTGCAATTATTCTGACGTCAGTTTTATTCATTTAGGAATTACAATTAAACAACTAAACAAGTTATGTTGACATTAGATCTGTATTTTGGTAGACGCCGTTTTTCTTAAATTTAAATATATTTTGCCCGACCATGAAATACACGATAAGCTATACAAAACCACGGGACTGAGGGTAATTTGATTTGTAACTTGATTAGATTTTAATTGTGCTGAATAAGGTAGATTGCACATTATTTGGCATGTATAGGAAAATAGGTGCATTTCATAAATGTCATGATTACTATACTTACATACAAAATAATTTATATCACAGTTTCATTCCATACCTTTCAATTAAATAATTTATTAAAATATAAAAATTTAATCTATGTATTTTTTTTTAATTTTCAGACATGTTCTCAATTGATAAAAGCTGGTCTTAAATTATCAATTCAAAGTAAACGTAAAATGTCTAGTGGAGATTCAAGTTCTGGTAATGAACAACCATCACGTAAATATTCTCGAAAATCATCAAATGCAAATTCAGTTGCCACAAATAATAATAATAACAACAATAATAATAATAATAATAACAATGCAAATATAATTAATAATAATATTAATAATAATAATAATAATGTTATTGATAATAATACTATAAATTGTATTAATAATCACCAACAAATTCAACAACAACAACAACAGCAACAACAAACATATTGTAATGGTGGTTCATCAATATATTCAAATGATAATGGAACAAATGGTGAAACAAGTGAAGATGATTGCCAATTTGATCAAAAACCACAAACAAATTCTCATTTAATATCAACTGGTTTAACACCAGAAGATGAAGATAGACGAAGAAGACGTCGTGAACGTAATAAAATTGCAGCAACAAAATGCCGTATGAAGAAACGTGAACGTACATTTAATTTAATATCAGAATCGGAAACATTAGAAAAACAAAATATTGATTTAAAATCTCAAGTTCAAAGTTTAGAAATAGAAAGAAGAAGAATATTTGAAATGTTACAAATTCATAGTTGCCTTCATCCAAATGGATATCAACCACCGAATAAATTTTTACAATCACCAGCTTATAAATATTTAAAAGCATTAGGTTTATCTAATGATGATGATATAAATAATTCAATTGAACAACAAACAACACGTACAGTTATTCCATCTGTTGATACAATTAAATATTCAAGAATAAATGGTTTAAGACAACAGCAACAACAACATCAACCGATTTTAAATCAAACTCACCCAACTCATTTAGGTATTATCAATATATATTATAAAAAATAAAAAATAAATATTATATTTTTACTTCATTTTTTTTTTTTTTTTTAGATATGCTACCAAATGGATATTGTAAAGCATCACCAACAACAGCTGAACTTGGTTATTTAAATTCACCAACACAAGATGTAACAAGCACCTGCCATTTACAACAAATTTTAACAAATACAAATATAACAAATGTAGTAACACCAACAGCAACATCACCTCTTACAAATGGATGTCTAACACAACAGCAACAACAACAACAACAACAGCAATCACAACAACAACAAATTCAAACAACCCAATTAGGAACATTATTAAAAACTGATTCACCATATAACATTCCAACAACCCAGAGTCCAGTTGGTACAACAACAATATCAACAACACGTGATAATATTATTAATGATGATACACCAACTGTTGATAGTACAACAGCTGATTTTGTATTAAAAAGTGAATATGCTGATAGCCCATATACAACTGATAAAAGTGCTGAAAGATTTTTATGTGAAACAAATTTTGATACAACATTTGATATTAAACATAGTAATAATTTAAATAATAATAATAATTTAAATAGTCATAATAATAATCATAGTACATTGGATTTTAATGCCCAATTAAATTGTTCAAATAGTTATGATAATATATTAAATATTAAAAATGATTTTTTGACACATGAAGAATTATTAACAGAAATGTGCGGTGATGGTCCAGATTCTGAATTTACTGATTTAGATACAGGTATTTCATATGTTCATAATATAACAAATGGAGGTTGTCTTGCGTGAAATTTATTGAAAAATACAAATATATATATAGAATATGATAATAATTATTTAATAAATGAATATTAATATATTTATATACATACATATAAATGCATGCAAGTAAATATACATACTTATATACATAAGTATATAATAATTTGATATCGAAATTTTAGTACTGTATTACAAATACATGGTTCGGCTTACGATAATTCATGAATTACATTAGAATCAAATACGATTTCGATATCTCTTATAATTTTGTATACATACATACAATACCATTTTAAATGTAAGAAGAAAATATTAATTAGGATAGAATGACAATTTGTTTTTTTAAATTTTTAAAATTTTTAAATTGTTTTTTTTTTTAATATTATATATACTCAAAAAAATCTTATGTAATTTTAAATTAAATTCATTAATTTATGTATTTAATAATTAAATTATATTTTAAGATAATAATGAACTATAGGTATTTTGTTATAATAATAAACCATTTTCATTTCTTAAAATACTCTTTGAAACGATTATTTTTAAATTATTTTAGACTAAATTATAAAAATTTGATAATTTTTTATATTTTAAATTTTTTTAACATTTTCAATATTTTAATATTAAATTCACCTATTTTTTATAATGCTCACACATTTATTTTAATTACTTGGCTTATAATTGAAAAAAAAAAAAATCTTTTCATTATGATAGTAAATTTTAATTGTTATGACAGTAAATTTTTTAAGTGTACGAGTATTCCTATTATGGTCCCAGTTTTAAATTAATTTCAATATTTTAAGAAATTTTCGATTTTTTATACTATTAAATTTATATTTGCAATAAATTTATATATAAATATAATATTTAATTCATATATACGTAATTAATATATTTACTTACTTGTATGTATGTATGTATATGTGACATTCGAAAATGTTTATGATTTTGATCCAAAAAAAAGAAAAAAATATTATTGATATTTGAACAAAATTTATAGAAATATATCATTATTAAATAAATTATAATAAAAAAGTATTCACGCCTTCTATGTAATTGAAAATAATATTCATATATATAAAATGTTTAATTGTCAAAAATTTATTAATCAAAAATGTTATTATTAAATGTCAAAATTTATAATGTTAAATTGTGATGGATAATGTGAAAATTTATATAAATCGTATATAAATTTGATTAATAATAAAATTAAGTAACCAAAATATACTTTATATTTATTTATTACAAAATTATTAAATAATTATTAGCACAAAATTTTTAATTTAGAACAAAACATGACATTTATTTAGAGTTTTGACATTAAAAGATCATTGATTTTAAGAGAAACAATACGTCATATTTTGTTCTGTTGAAATGAGCTCATTCAAAAGCAATCAAATTTGTATTCAAATTAATACGCAAATATTTTTTTTTTTTTTTCAAATAATATCATCACCTATTTCTGAACAACAAACGTGATGTTTAAAAGCTGTAACAGACTACAGTTGCAGTCATACCGATTCCTAAATAATTATATTGAATATGGTATTATAAGCGTGAATACTTTTCATTATACAATAATGATAAATTGATAAATAATAAAAATATTTCCTGACAAATCTTTTAAAAAATTATCGATTTTTAAAAACCAATACAATCTCTAAATTGAAAGATAACCAAAATTGAAAAAAAAAAAAAAACAAAATTAAATAAGAAAAAAATTAATTTTAACGAGAACATTATACGAAAAGAAAAAAAATTTAATAAAATTTACCAGTAATGCATTCCTTAAAAATCCAATGTTTATTGAAAAAATAAAAAAGATTACAATGTTAAATTGTAAAAAAATAAAAATTTATTTAATGTAATTAAAAAATAAATGATCAATTCTTGAATAAAAATAAAAATTATAAAATAATTTATAAAAAAAATCTGACAAGATTTAATAAATTGAATAAAAAAATATTTAAGAAAAATGTTTAAAAATTTTAATTTAAGATTTTTTTAATTTTATTGTTTTTTTTTTTTTTTGTCGATTAAAAAGTATTAAAAAAAAACGGAAACCATGAAATATTATATAAAATGTTAAAAACATTAAAAATTTGATTTTATCAAATTAAAAAATAATTTTTTTTTTTTTGTAATTTTTAATTTAATTTTTATTTTAATTCTCGCTTTTCATGTTTTTTTTTTTTGTGTAATATTTTAAGAAACTTAAAACCAAACCGATTTTACGAATATTTTTTTTTTTTTTTAATAATTATTTATAAAATTAAGAATATTATAAAATATGAAAGAATAACAAAAAAAAAAAGAAATAAAATGACGACACATAATTTATTTAAGAAAAAAATTTTTATAATATTTTAAAAAAGTATATATATATTTTAAATATATATATATATATTATGTAATAAAAAAAAAACAAGTAATTCTATTATTTTTAAGACAATTCATATTTTCGAAATCGCATAAAATTCTAATAATATTTTGTAAGTCTAAAAAATAAATTTTTAATAATCATTTTGAATTTTTGGGCAGAAATAAAGAAAATTTGTATAATGCGTAACATTAATTTTTTTACCACCTTCAATAATAATTTATCTAAATTTAAAATTCAATATTGAAAACCTTAATTTGATTGGTATAACACAGAGTTTGGAAACCTTTTAAAATAATATAAATTTAAAATAATAACTAAAGAGGTCGCATTAGTTTCAATACCAATGAATGTAAATTTTGTACAGTTATTGCTGTGCAAATTCCATTCCAAATTAATTTTTTTTTTATGAAACAAAAAAAATTAATAAAATTAATAAAATTATTATTATAAAAAACAACTCAGTTCAATGAAAAGTAACATAAATAACAAAAAAAAAGAACAACTTCAAATTCATTGTTTAATAAATCAAATTCAATTGAGATTATATTTAGTGAGATATTTGCATTTGTTTTTTACTTGAAAGCAATTAAATATTTAAAGGGCATACAAATACAAATACGAACTGTCGGGGCGGGGTCGCACAAAAACCCTTAGAGGCTTAGATGCCATAGGTTCCCCTCCTCTATATAATCTATATCTAAAATTATATTAAAAAAAAAAAAAAACAATGTAATAATTAGAAAAATAATTTGTTTCAACAATATTTTATTTATTCTAAATAATCTTATATTTATTATATTAAGATATCACTATTTTCTTCTAAATATATACTAGATTTTTTGTTCTAATCAAGAGTACTGATTTAATATTTTCATTGTTTTTTAATACTTTCCCGATTCTTATTTTAAAATTTATTGGTCATCCCTATATTTTAAAAATATTTAATCTTTTAATATTGTGATATCAAATAAACACACTATTGTTAAAATAAATATGTGACATTAATGGAATAATAAACTTAAAAAATTTTATAATTAAATTTTAAAGAACTTATAAATTACACAATATAAAAAAAATGAACCAAGATGCTTCTCAAATAATAATTGAAAGAACTTCATATCCTATAATAAACAAGAATATGAAATAGAATTTTAATCATTATAAAATGAAATTTAAACATTTTTTAAAATTTTTATTTTTTGAAGGTGGTAAAAGTTGTGTTTTTCAATCAATTAAATTTTATATATGGTTTTATATTAAATAAAACATAACTGTATATGTTCGCATATACATTTTCTACTTTAAACTTTTGATTTAAGGAAAAAAAATTTTTAAAATATGAGGGCAAAAACGAAAAAAAAAAAATTAAAATTCTAAAAACATTTTGAAAAAAAAAAAAGAAAAAACAAAATTAAATTTAATATAAAACGCAAAAATAAAAATAAAAATTAAAAAAAGAAAGTTATATTTTCATATAAGTGATAATAAGATTTAAGAAAAATTAATTATAATTATTATTTAAAAATTAAAAACAAAAAATATAAATTGATGAAGAAATTTTAAAAAATTAAATTTGTAAAATTAAACAAAAAAAATTACAAAAAATGCAAAAAAAAAAAATTATAAAAAATTTAAAAAAAAAAAAAACAAAATTTTTGATGTTAAAAAATTATTATAAATATATATATATGTATATGTAAATTTTATTACCGTATCTTAGATATTAAAAAAAAAGAAACAAATTAACTAACGTTTTTATTATTATCATTATTAATTCTTTTTAATTAATATTGTATAAAAACAAATTTAAAAAAAAAAAAACACAAAAAAAAATTTTTTTTTATATTTAATAAAAAAAAAAAGGAAAATTCATAAAATTAAAAATATATTTTTTTGCTAATTTTTTAATTTAACGAATAATATAAAAATATATTTACTTTAAATGTATAAAAATCATGTCCGTAGTTTTTTTGTATAGTTTTATTGTTTAAAAATTTTAAACAAATAAGAAAGAAAATGTTGTTTTTAATTATTAAAGAAAAAAACAGAAAAAAGAGAAAAAAAAAAAATAAACAGTTTTTTTTTAATTATTTTTATTTTTTTAATTATTATTATTAATTTTTTGTTTTTTTTTTTTTTTTTATAATTTTAACATTTTATTATTTTTTATGAAATAGTTTTATAAAATTTATCACAATATTATTGCAATCGTTTTTTTTTTTATTATTATTATTTCTTTTTAATATTTTTTTAAAAAATATTAATTTAATTTTTAATTACCTATTTATTTTTTTCTTTTTAAATTAAATAATAATTAATATAACAATGTATGTATATTTATATATATAAATGTATGTATGTATACTTGTAATTTGTTAATATAAAATCAATGTAATTCAGATATATAGCCAAAATGTTGTAAATTTCAATAAAATTTCCGAAATGAAGAAAACTTGATCATTTTAAAAAAAATTGTATTTTCAAAAAAAATAAAGATTTTCATTAACGCAATACTGTAAAAACATAACGAGATGAATATGCAATACATTTTTGATTGTTCTATAAAATTAAAACTGCTAATACAATTTGAATGCGCCACTCATACTATAATTTTGCTATATTATACGAAAAATTAGTAATGTTAATGAAGAAATTAGATTTGCAACATTCGTTTATGAAAACAAAAATCGAGCAGTTTTCATCATGTATCGCAACATACAGCATTTATGAAAAGATCTATAATATTTTACCCAAAATATATGATGTTAAATTTTTATTCATCTCCTAAAATTTTATTATCAACACAATGTAATTTTTTGTCATAAATCATTGAAACTAAAATATTAATTGAAACTTAATACTTATATTCAATTAATTTTTTTAGACAAAAGGTTAATCATCACTGGCGTAATAGGTTAAAATTAACCTATTTTCCATATAGTACTTTGAGATTATTTGTATATTTTAAGGGGGAACGTGTCTTTATATTATTAAAATTATTGTTAATCAATTTTTACCGACCCCATTGCATACAATATAAGGGAGGTTTTTCTTTAAATGTTAACTTTATACCAACCTAAATTCTAATTCTAGTTTAAATAAATTTTTAATTGGAAAAAAATATTTCATTCCCAAATATCCATTATTAAGTTACAGCAAAAAACGTTTTGAAACTTCAATATTACAATTATTAAATAATATATTTATACAAAATATATATATATATATATACATAAATATTCATACATGAAAATAGTACGATAAAATCGATTAATTGTATAAACACAAAAATATTTAAAATAAAAATTATAAAAATTATTTTAGAAATAAATAATTTTTGTTTTTTTTTTTTTTTGTTTTTCTCTCTCGGAAAATTAATTATTGGTATCCACAAATAATTTCTAGAATAAAAAAGTGTAAGTAAATGATACAAAAAAACAAAAATTTGTAAAACGAAAGACAAAATTCATAAATAAGAATAAAAAATTGTTTTAAAATTAATTTCTTTTGTTTTTGTAAATTAAAATACTTTGAAAATATAATGTTAATATTAATTGATGTGATTGAAAAAAATTAAAAAATAAAATCATTTATAAAAAATACTTAATTAAAATTTAATTAAAAATATGGAATAAAACAAAATTAATTCGACATAATAAATGATTTTTTTTTATAAGCAAAATAATTTTGGAAATTTATAATAAAAAAAAAAAATAATAAAAAAATTTTTATTTAAATATTAATTTTTTTTTTAATTTCTTTTTTAAAACATTTAAAAACTATTTTAGATTTACAATTTTTTGATAAAAAAAAAATGACTATTATGACTATTTCCCGAAATATTTCCCATAAATGTCCTTTTATTCAATTAATATCTCTAAATGAACAATATCTCTAAAATTCTGAATATATGCCTTAAAATTTTCCTAATAAAATCAGATCAAAGGAAAATTTAAATAAAAAGATATAAACTTTTTACAAATTGTGAAAAATTCAAAAATTAATGGAACGCATTTATTCTAAAAAAACAAAACACAAAAATCAAATGCTTTTAAGAAAAGGTTTATCGGATTAATAAAAAGGACCTGTAATTAATATGCATAGGTACTTTATTCAATAAGACAATTTAAATTACTTGGATAAAATAAAATAGACAATCTAGAATATTTTAATTTCCAAACACAAATCAATATTAAATCTGAAAATAAATCTTAATCAAAATTTATTAAAAAATAACATTTAAAAATTTCTTTAAATTTAATTTCCTAAAATTGAATGAATTGAATTTAATTTCCTAAAATTTCTTTAAATTTAATTTCCTAAAATTGAGTTATTTTATGAAAAATTACGTCATATTTCAATAGAACATCGAAATCACTAAACCCTTTTAAAATATTTAATATTATATTTTCTTTTAAATTTCTTTTTGTTTTTTTTTTAATTTGAAAATACTTTAAATTTGAAATTTAATAAGGAAAAAAAAATTTATAATAACAAATAGATATGAATATTGCAATAATAATAATAAATAATTAAATAACTAAAAAAAAAAAAAGTAAATTAGAAAGAAAAATATTTAAACAAAAAACAAAAAATGCCTTCCTATATATTTGTATATGTTATTATTATATAATATAAAAACAAAAAAAAAATATTATGGCTTTAAATGTGCATTATTAAATTTACATACATATATACAAAGAATAAAAAAATAAATAATAATACCTCACTTAAAGAAATAAATTGATGAAAATAAATTAAAGAAAAAAAAAAACAAAAAAAAAATCTAATTGTTGTTTCTTAAAATAAAGAAAAAAATAATAATTAATATTATATTGAATATTTAAATAATAATGTTAAAGTGATTAATTAACAAAAAACAAAAACAAAAAATAAAAGAGAAAAAAAATACGAATAAAAATTTAAAATTCAAGAAAATTCAAACATACAAATTCCTAGGTAATTAAATTAATTGATATTGTAATTATTGTAAAATTGAAAACATATTTGTAACATTCCCATTATAAATAATGTTAAATATATTTTTTTAAATATATTTTTGTCGCTCCCTTCTTAATTTGAATTTAAATTTGAGATTTTGTTTGCTGAAAGCAACATCGAATAACCACAAAAAAAAATTAAATTTTCTATATAATTTTCATTTTCAAAATTCAACCAATTTCATATTGAATTAGATAATTAATAATAACAATAATATAAGAATTAATTTTCATTGAATTTATATTAAATGTAATTATCTTTAATTGATTTTAAAAAGCTTAAGAAGTTTTAATTTTAAATTTTTGTAATCCCTTATTAGATGCAATTTTTTCACAAACTCTTTAATTTAAAATATGAAACTAATAAATTATTAAACTAATAATTATATTTATGAATAATTAATTTAAACTCTTTAATTCTATGTAATTACTTTGATACTAATTTTTTTTTTATATTTGAATAAAATGAATTTGAAAAAAAAAATTAAAACTCTTATACGAGACAACAATAAATTCCAGAACAAAACAATTAAAATCTATAAAATTTAAAATAAAAACAAAATCCTTTTTAAGGCCATAATTCCTATAATTCTTTTAATAATTTTTACTAGCATTCTTCTCAGAATTCTTAAAATGATTTTAAATTATTATTATTGTTATTATTACTTTTCTACAATTCAGTTAATTAAAGTGTATTATAAGATAATAAGAAAGCTCCTTTAAAAATTTAATATTTATTACGATTATTTTGCCGAATTTATTTATTTAAATACTATTTTTTTTATATATATTATTATACATAGTAAAAAACCTACATGAATTTTAAAAATTTTAAAATTTTGTATTAAAATACAAGAATAACATCATAATAATTATATAATAACTTAAAATCGAAATATATTTGCATATATAAACCTACATATTATATAATATTATTATAAATATTTATGTAAAATTAATATAATAAATATAAAATGTAAAAATTTACTGAAAAGAAAAGAAATTTATTGTAAATTAAAAAATCAAACAAATAATTATAACAATATAATATTGTAAGAATTGTTAATAAAAATAAAACAAAAAAAAAAATATATAAAATAACATTTGAAAAAAAAAAAAAATAACCGCTTTTTGTTTTTGATAAACTTAAAATTAAATAATTTCAAAAAAAAAAACTGAATTACTTAATGATGAACCCTTTATTTTCAATTTTAATTTTTAAAACAAAAAAATTAAATGCATTTTGTGATGATCATTTGGTATCTGTAATTAATTTATTTCATATACAATAAAACAGAATTTAACTTAATTTAATGAAAGAGAAAAGGATAAGAGAAAAAAAAATAAATGATACTTATATGTACCTGTAAAGAAATGAGTTTTATTTTAAACATAAACACCTGGTTCAAACGTTTTCAAATTTCATATATAAGCGATGTATTTCTAATATTCAATTATGGAAGTTGATTTGTAGTTGAACCCATATTATCAATTCCCCACAAGATATTAAGATCTTAAAAATTTTCTTGTGCATTTATGAAAATAATTGATCCCTAAAAATTATGTTGTTTTTTCAAATACTTTAAAAAATAAGAACAACTAAAACTAAAGAAATTGTAATGTTCACTGCACTTTACAAAAAAAAAGCATTTAACTTCCTTTACCTTAACATAAAATGGCATGAAAATACTACAAAATGTATAACACATAGAAAGAGAATTTAAAGTTCTGAGATAAAAAAAAAGAAGCATGTAAACATTTTAAAACATTTCAGAAATAAATTATATAAAACAATAGCAAATACTTTGTTTATTAAACTTTATTTGAAAACGGTATAAAATGCTAAAAGTATTGGTTAATTATTAATGTACATTTTTTCGAATTTCAATTATGTATATTGAAATACGAAATAATTTATTATTATTACCTAATCATATTATACATATAATATTTTATAATAGTTTTCTCATAAATATTGTTTGATTTTGAACTTTGACAGTTATTTAAAATAACTGTTCAAATATAATTTTATACGCTTATTGTTTAATTTTAATAATATTTTATTAAATTCATTTTTTTTGTTCTTATCAATAAAATTATATTCATTTATAAATAGACAAGCTACTAAATTACAGACTTCTGAATCTAATGGATCGCTTAATATTCCACTTACTATATCTGCAATTATAATATTTCGGTTTTCCATCAAAAGTAAATTTGCAAAATATTCTAAATTCTTAATTAATTGAATTGGTGCCATGCATGGATCTCTTTCATTTTCTGTGTAAATAATTTTTTGAATTTGTTTACCCAATTCCATTAAATTTTTATTAGTATTAAAATATATCAAAATAAATTCGAATACAATATAATATAAATTAAAATATGTTGACGAACTGAAAACTTCTTTTAAAAATTTAACAAAATTTTCTATTATCAAATTTATTAAAATCTTATCCTGTGTATTTCGTTTTATAATTGCAAAAAAAAATATTTTGAAGAATTTCGAAATAATGTTTCTCAAAGTATAATTTTGCTCATTTTCATCATAAAAATCCCACTGATTGTTAAAACTTAATTTTAGTTTTGTAACAATAAATTTTATCTTCTCTTGTATATTTTCCTCTGTACTTCTGTGCAACAACATATATTCTATAGCTGTAACTAAACATTTTTCAGAATTTATCTCAGGTATATGTATAGAAAAAAGGTTGTCTTCTAAAAGATATTCAATAAAATCCTTCTCCATATGATTAATATTTTTATTTATCCCTTCTAACATCTGAAAACGCTTCTCTTGGAAAAATGGAAGCTCATTTTCAACTTGTAAAATTTTAAACCACATTGCTTTGCAATAATGGGATAAATATTCTTTTGGAACACCATTTAAATTGCTAAAACTTTCAATAACATCTTTATCTTTATAATTAAGTTCTTGGATGAATTTTTCAATTAGTTCCCACCAAATGTGAGCATCTATATCTGTTACCAAATATTTCAGCATTATATCTAACAACACTTTTCGAATAATTGGACTTCTATTGTCTAACCAAATTTCCTTAATTAGATTGATTATTGATATTTTACTTTCGATCAATAATAGTAATCTAACAACATGTTTTTTAAATGATATTGGTGCATTGAAGGAATTTTCTAAAAACCTTTTCGATTTATGACATGGAATTTTTAAACAAACACTATTCAAACTACCCACAGCTAATTGAAGAAAATCACCATAACAAAATTTTTTTAGAGCTACTAAAGTTTCTGGATTTGATTTGAAATATTTTAAGCTGCAAATATACCAAAATAAAAGTTTAGAACATATAAAACAAAAAATATATACCTAGATGCAATTTTTTTCTGAAACATAAATTTGTATTGACATTCTACACTCCCAATTGATGCAGTTTTTTCTTCAGGATAATATGATTCAACTATTTCATAAAATTGACTGCCAGACATACACGGTAATAAAATCCACAAGGCATGTTCTTTTAATTCATCTGTTTTCTTATTCTTTAATATTTCATCACATTTTTTATGAAGTAACTCTTCAAACCCTGGTATTCGCTTCAACATTTTTAATTTATCAACTTTATGGTAAAAAGAATTTGTATCATCTTTCAAAAAGGAAAAGAATAAATCACAAAATTTTGTAATTTTATCTGGGATTAAGTTGGGTTCGTATGACTGGTATTGCACGAAATAACTTAATTTATCCAAATCATCGCAGATATTTAAAATCTGTTTTTTAAGTTCTATTAAACGGTCAGAAAAATATTCAGCTAAACCATTGTCATTTTCAATCAAACATATTGTTTCCTCCATCTCATATATGTGAGTTTTATCAGTCTTCGTCAATTTTTTATCACAAAATTTTAAAACCCAATCTTGTTCAACTATTATTATAATATTTTTAGGATTTGCCGTATTATAATCAAAATAGCTCTTCAGCAAATCTTCATGAAACGAAGGTTCTGTCAATTCAGCAGCCAACAATAATACAGTTTTATTATTAGCTTGCGATAGCGTAGTATAAAATTTCCAGTGAAATTTAAATCCAACCCACTTTACAAAATAACTGTACCAATTTTTAAAAAATAGTTTATCATTTTTTGAAAATTTCAATGCTTCAACAAATAACATATCTGGAATATTTAAAAAGCGATGATTTAATTCAGATTTCATGTCGAAATTACATATAATGTTATATAGTTCCTCCCAATGTAACCGACTTAATTTCGATAGGTTCGAATCTAATGTGTCTACAAAATTTTTGATAAAACTACTTCTAACTGACAACTGCTCATTCTTATGCTTCATATTGAAATATTTCAAAATTTCTAATAGGGAATTATAATCCTCATTTAGTTTACAAGTTAGAACCAAATCATTAAGAAATTTTCTTCGATTTTCGGCATCTACAGAAATTTGAAGTAATTCATTTAATTTGGGAATTGATACATTAGTTTTCATAAAAGGAATCCAATCTATAGATTTTACTGTTTTATTTGTCGAGCCTAAAATAGAGTAAAACAAATAATTAAAATAAGTACATATTCTGGAAAACAAAAAGGAAACGTACCATATTCAAATTTTTCAAAAGCATATTTATGTCTCGTTTCGTTATCTTTCATCCATAATAATAAATTAAAAGTAATATTTTTGTTATTTTCTAACAGCTCTTTTCCATAAACACGTTTATAACATTTCTGTAACATATTTAGTTTATCTTCATCTCTTTTGAATAAAAACCAAAAATTATTAACTTTGTAACTTATACTAGGAATGTCAGTAATATCTTTTTCTTCAGGGAATAGTTCGCACAAATATTTTTCCATTTCCTCCTTTTTAAAGTATTTCAATAATACAAATTTATTATACCTATCAGATTCCGCGTCTGATATCACAAAATCTGCGGAATGTTTTATCAAAGATTTTGTAAATTTTCTACTTGCTTTAAAGGACCGGAAAATGCTGAATTTTTTTTCTATTAATTTCAAAATTTCTTCTGGGTAAGAGGAATATAATTTCAAGATTATTTTTGAATAATTATAATCCCGATGATTAAAAATTTTCGGTAATTCTTCGTCTTGAAAAGTTTCTAACAAATTCTCAAAATATGTTATAATATCTCTCGATCTTTCTTTTAAAATTACTTCCAAGTCTCGGTTTTTCAAAAATACACTAATTTTTATCATATTAATCCACGTAATCAAATCACAATGTTTTAGAAAGGCACGGGCTGTTGAAATATTATAAATAGAAAATAATTCGTCAAAATACTTCTTTGCTTCATCACAATTTGTAGTATTTATTGCCAATAATTTAATTATTTTATTTCTGTGTGAATAAGATATCTTTGGAAAGACATTTTGTATTAGAAATTGCAGGTTAAATTGTTTCTTCGGATTTTTCCATATATAGTTACAACGTTTTAATATATCTTCAATGATATCATCGTTTTCACATAATAACGATTGAATTAATACTTCATCATTTTTTAATTCGATTAGAAAATTCACATAAAGTCTCTTGATAAAAAAGCAAGAATCAATTACATTTTCTGGTTTTAAAAAATCCTCTATTTGATTTTGTGAGTATTTATTGTTTTTTAATTTATTTGTAATTTCATTTACTATTTTAAGCTTAATTGATTGTTTCACTAAAGGATCTTTTAGGGTCTTCAAATCGGAAATTAAATCTGCTGTCATTATTACCTAAAAAACTATCTTTATAGTAGTGGTTTGTTAAATTTTTCTTACCTGTATGCAGTTATGTACCTATCCAAACTTAATCACATAAATTCTTATAGGAATCAAACAATCAAATTGAGTTGATTGAGAAATTGAAAACAATGATTGAGTTATATTACTGTTGGGCTCATTGAATCTACACTTGCAACTCTTTCTAACTAGTAAAATCATAGAGATAAACTTCTATGTGCATCTGCATACATACTTATGTATATAGATAAATACAAATCCCAAACTTAATACATATTTCTGTTATTCCTTTCCATTTTAATACACCTCTTCCCATATAATAAACTGAATGGGAATTTCCACCGTATTTCTCTAATAGAAAATTTATACTGATTACTGAAACATAAAAATCCAATTTTTGCTAAAAGATCTTCAGTATACATACATACACTATTCCTATCATACTAATTACAATTGAAAAAAAAACATCGAGTCTCGACAATGAACATTTTTTTTTATCAACTACGCGAACCTTTTTAGTTAACTCAAAATGCTATGCAATAAAATTTTATGATTTTAACAAAAATAAACAATCATATAGAATTTCCCCTATTGGGAAGTAAATGAACTTTCAGAACAATAATCAAATGTCAAAAATTTATTTTAAATCCAAAATATTTATTAAATATTTTTAATTATAATTAAAACAAATCTATTGTAAAATTTATCATTTCTTTTTTGACTTCACTCAACAAGATGATGTATACATAATTCAAAATGTAATATATTTTACTTTCAATTTTTGTATTACAAAATATAATACAAAAATTGAAAATATATCAAATGTGAAATTTAATGAAAAATTAATATAAACTCACCTTAAACATTGTACGAAACTTCAAAATATGCTCATATTAGGAAATGACATTTATCACGTTTTTTCTTAAATGACATATAAATGTCATTCAATTAGTTCATTTACATATGTATATTTGTAGATATGTATATATTTCACATTTTATTGTCGTCGGAAAAAAGTAGCCGTCGTTTTATAGAATGTTGATTAGTTGATTTTATATATTTAAGAAAAAAAAAATTAAAAAAAGTAAATAATAATGTATTTTTCCGTTTTTCTATAAAATTAGAAAAATTTTCTAATAATATAAAAAGGGAAGAGTGCTAATATAATTTTTTCAATAAAAAAAATTATGTGGGTGTGACCAAATGTTTTAAATAAAAACTATAAATAACTTTAAAAAAAGAGACACAATAAATACGAATTTCCGATTGGAGTTATTCAAAATAAAAGAATCACAATAAGAGTTGATGAATTTTGTTATTGCAATAACGAAACAACAAACAAAAAGAAATTAAATTATTAAGCGTTTAAATTTTTATGAAATTTAACATGCATAATATTGATAGTTATGGGGATCCATCAATTATGGAACCGCTGGACTCCTTAACAACAATCAAGGTAAAAAATGTTAATATTCATTATACATATGTATACACATTATATGTTTATATTCTATAAGGTAAAGAAATTCTTTTACATATAATAAAATTGCAAAATAATTTCGTTATGGAGAAAATTACGATATCCTTGGAATTCAATAAATTGAAAATGCGTATTATTTTTAGTAAGGTATTTTATGTACATCATATTATATACATTTATTTTGAAGGAGCTACTAAATAGTTTGTTCAAACAGGTTTTTGCCTTTTAAATATGTAGGTACTTATTAAATGACGAAATCAATATTGAAATAAACTTTTGTTTGACTATAAAAGTCGTTTGATTAAAACAAAATAAAAAAGAAACAAAAATTTGCGATAAAAATTTTGTTTCTGTTTATTTAAAAAGCTTTTAAAGTTTGCTAAAATGTTCTTTTTTTTTTTCTTTGTTTCGAATAAGATTTGCAATTAGCAAGACGTTAAAATTTACTAATAATAATAATCTCTTAAATTTTTAAATACTTAATTATCAATAATTTAATTTCAAACTAATTTTAATTCGTCTTATTTTTAAAGTTGTTCTTGTTTTTTTTTGTAAATTTATGGTGCTTAAAATAATTTAATTTTATAAAATTCGTTTTAAATAGTTTTTGGGGGGACAAAATATATAGTCACATCTTTTAAACATGCAAGTAAATACGCAATAAATGTAAATAAGTACATTAATACATACATATTATATGTATAACTACATACATACATGCATACATACATATTTAAATATAAAACATCAAAAATTTAAATTTTCCATCATTCATAATTTGAAACAATAAAAAAATTTAAAGAGATGTTCAAAAAAATTTTTTTTACGTACATATATTTATTCATTGTGTTTCTTAAATAATTTTATTTGTAATTCTTAAATAGGTATTTGAATAGTAATACATATCTAGCTATAATGTATATATGAATTAATATAATTCATTAAAATATTTTAGTTTAAATTATAGATATTAAATTATTATTAAATTATCAGTTTAAAAAAGCGCACTTTTCCATTTTTGAAATTTAATACCATTACATGTTTTGGAATCAAATAACTACATTATTTCGAAAACTTGCCTAAAAATAATTTTATCTATAAGTTAGTATATATCTATTTACTTACCTGCATGTATCGGATGTAATTATTTTTATTTTTAAAATACAAAAAAGCAAATGACATATTAATTTTCTTATTTAAAAAAAAATTCTTCTTCTTTTAGGTTATTGTACCTTCACATTACGACGTACTTTAAATAATACTATAAAACAAAAAGAAAAACAACCAAAAAATACAAAAAAAAAAGCACTCAGATATATAAGTATAGGTTTATCTTTATACTTTCATGTGACTCACTATTTATTTTGTTCTAAAAATTTGTTTTTTTAAGTGAATATTTACTTAATTAATATTCAATTTAATGTAATTTTTTTTATTAAGTATTAAATTGAATATTAATAATATATTATTTAAATAAATGCATAATTGTTTAAATATTAAATATATATATCTTAATATTATTTGGCGTACATGTGCCTTTTAATTATTACTTACCGAATTACTTTACGTGTACTCAATGCAATGTACACGTAAAGCATATATTCAATTTATTTAATTTCTGTACATACCTGCCGCCGACTTTATGTCAATTCACATTATTAAATTACAGAATCAAATTGGTTTACATACTTATACATAGCTTGTTTAGATAATTTTCAGGGATGTTTTTTTTTTTTTAATATCCTGACTGATAAATATAAAAACGATATAATAAATCTTATTCACCATTAATTTTTATGTAATTTTAAACTATAATAAGTTTAATTTAAAAAAAAAAAATTTCGATTAGGTAGGTTTTTTAACCTTAGTTGTAAAATTTAATTTAAAATGAAATTATAAATAAATTGATTGAAATTTAGTTTGTTTTAATTATTAAATATTAACAGAATATTTTCATTAATTTTTTTAAATATTATTCAAGCAGATATATTTAATAACAGTTTAAAATAAATATTTATGAGATGAAATATGCAAAAACTGCATACAAAAATTTTTTTTGTTAAAAAATTCTGGACTAAAATTTATCAAACTGGAAATAATTTTTTATTTTTACATTTCCCTTTTACTTTCCTTTCTTTTGTTTTTAACTTGGGTATATGTCAATTTTCTTTAAATTGTAGCAGCTATTCAAGCTAAAATTACTAGAATTGGCAATTAAAACAAAAAAGAATATAGGTATATATCAATATTTAAAGTAATTTTTTTCATTTATTACATTATGCAATATAAATTTTGAGTAATATTAATTGACATTCAAACCAAAAACCTTTCTACAAACTAAAATCTTTTTTATTACGAGTACTTCATTTGTTTTTGAAAATCTTAAAAAAATATTGAAAAAAAATTAGAAAATATTGAAAAACAAAATTATAAAAATGTATAATTACATAATTATTTAAAAGTTTTATGATTGAACTAATAAACTACATTGTATCCAAAATTGTACAAAACACTTTTTAAAATTTAAAAAATTTAAACAAAACAATAATATTAATTAGCATCCCTGTCAAAATTTTTATAATTGAAATATTTGAGCAAGCACACAACACGTATACATATATATATTTTTCATTTTTGTATATACGATATACAACCAATTCGTTTTTGTGTATATTATTTTATTCTTTTTATAATATACTCATTAATACAAATACATATTATATGAAAATCTATACATATAGAAAAAAAAAATATTCTATATTATATAGATTTAATTTTTGTTTAGCGATTTTATTTAAAATGTTAATAATTAGTCAGTGATATTATAATGTTCTCTCAATTTAGTTTTTGTGTTGAATAAGGCAAAAGATCTCTTCATGAAATACATATTTTCAAAATTAATAAATTAAGAATTGATAAAAATTATGAAATTATTTATCGAAATTATGAATTAAGATTTTTTTTTTTTATATTTTAATATTTCCAAATATATTTTTATAATTTTTTAAAATTAAATTGTATTACACGGTATTTAGAATTCAAAACATAAAAAAAAAATTTAAAAAATATAAAAAGTAAATATAGAATATAGAAATTCAGAAATAGATAGAAAATAATATAGAATATAGAAATTCAAGTTCAATATTAAAAATTTTATATATATTTTTTTTAATGTTATTATTGATAATCAAAAAAAAAATTATTTTTTAATTAAAAATATTTGTATATGTAATTTGTAAATACATGCATAGTTTTTTTAATTTCTGTACTTTTATAATATAGGTATAAAATAAAATAAAAAGAACAAGTTAGGAAAAAGAAGAAGAATAAAATAAGAATAAACTCCTGATAATTTCTACTTCATATGTGGTATATTTGAAATCATTTATATTTGAATAATTTTATTTTATTGATGATATTATTAATCTTTCATTGTTTCAAAAAAAGAAACAAAAAAAAAAGCAAGAAAATAAATAATTTTAAAAACACAACTGTGATAACATCGTAAAATACGCATTTAAAAAAAAATTTTTTTTTTATTACTATAAAATTTTTTCTTCATTTAACACATTAAAAATAATAACATACTTAAAATATTGCAATTTAAAAAAAAAACACCGAAAACAAAAACAAAAGCTTTAATAGTGTTGTGAATATTTACTTAACTTACACAACAATTACTTGTAAACAAGTAAAAACAACAATATTAAGAAATATAATTAAATATCAATAATAATAAACAAATATTTATATGTATATATAATTTTTATATTTTCCCTTATTTAAATATATAGAAAATATTTTGAAAAAAAAAAAAAAACAAAAAAACAAAAATCACGTTTTCAAATTTTTCTTTTTTTTTTTTTACAATCTAAAAAAAAACTCTCTTTCGCACATGTCTTATCAACAGCAACAAAGCATAAAATACAAAGACTTTCCACAAGAAGATGAAAGTAATATGGCATTTTTAAAACCACTTACATGGGTAGTTGTTTAATAAATATATACACTATTTTTTTTATATCATGAAAAATATATTTTTTAAATAACTTTTTTATTATTAGAGTTACTCTTTAATTTTTTGATTAATTCGATTTTAGAAATGATAATGTGAAGCAAAATGTACAAGTATGCCAAAATATAATGAATGCAATTATTTAATAAAAATTAAAATTTTTTTAAAAAATTAATTAATTCTCCAAAAGATTTAACTATCATACGCTGAGATTCCGAAATATAGAATACTCGAAATATATAATATTATTCACATATGTATAACTATTCTGGAGCCGCATTCAGTTGTTGATGTGATGTAATATGATTCTTAGTTGCGTAAAAATGCAATAATAAATTATCACAATAAAATTAATTTTTCAAAATTTAAGATTCTATACTGATAATTCTTATATTTTTGAATAACATATCATTACCGGAATATGGGTGATATTAATATATAAATTAAAATGGTTCAATTAGAATATTCTAATATATGATTCAAATTGAATCATTTCAATTAATGTTCTAATTAAAATTTTTATTATCAAATAAATTTGAAAATCCGGTTCAATATTTTTTATATGTATTATAATTAATATACTTACGATTGAGTAATATCTTTTTTTTTTTGTAATTTTATTTAATTTAATTTACACAATTGCGAACCTTTATATGAGTGAGAATAGGTTAAATTTTCATATTTATAAATTCTAATTAATAATAAAATTTGAGCTAATTTATGATGCTCTATAATGAGATAAAAAAAAATTTATCAAATAAAATTAAGGTAAATTATTGAGTGTTTCGCTTATTGAGGTACTACTGTAATTGAATCGATTCGAAAAGGAAATAAAATTTATTTCGATAAATAAAAAAATTTGTTTTGTACATATGTAGGTTCTAAAATGCATATTAAAAATTATTATTAGAGCATTTCGAAAGTAACATATAATAAAATTAATTTAAAATTTTGTTAATTGAATTTTTTTATTTAAATACACATTTTCGTAATAAAATTCAATTTACACTGTAGTTACCAAATAGGCTAATAAATCATTGCAGTAATAATTCACATGTTACCATATTATAGTTGCCTTTCATAATTCATATAGTTGCATTTTTCCAGATCTTCATAATTATATAAATATATAGTGTTGTATGATGTTATTAAAATTTCATTGTTATTTAAAAAAAAAATCTGGAAAATATTAAGTTTTTGTCTTAATTTACTACGTGGTTTCTTTCAGATTTCTTTATGATATTTAAATGTTGCTTCATACTTATACATAATATAATAATTAAATTAGAATTTGTAATGGAATTTATTAAACAAAACGTAAAATTTGAAATTGTTTTTAATTTTAAATATAATTTTGTTTTTTCTTTTTTTTTTTTTAGACTGAAATATCGGATGCAATAAAACCGGACCTTGTTAACGATGCTGAATTTAATTCAATACCAATATTACCACCGGATCAAACAGCATTACATTCGCTTCATAGTAGTAATGGTAAAATGAAATTATCATTTCATTTAATGGGGCGTGATGAAAATCTTTTAATTACAACGGAAGAAGAATTTTATAATAAATTACGTTGTACAGAAAATGATAAGATTAAAGTTGTTACAATTTTTGGAAATACTGGTGATGGAAAATCTCATACCATGAATCATATATTTTTTGATGGTGAAGAGATTTTTAAAACTTCATCGGATCAAACATCGTGTACTGTTGGAGTAATGGCGGCAATGCAACGTCGAATGGGTGTTTTATGCATAGATACTGAAGGTTTCTTAGGTACAAATTCGAATCCTGATCGTATAAAGAGAATGCTTCTCAAAGTGAGTTATTTATATAAACTAAATATTTTACTAAAATTATTTTTCTATCTTAATGTTATCTTATAGATTTTAGCCATATCAGATATTATAATATTTCGAACACGTTGTGAACGTTTACGTCGCGATATGTATCAGTTTTTAGACACTGCTTCAAAAGCATTTCATAGGCATTTTACCTCAGCTTTACAATCATTAGATGTTTCGGAATCACCAAGATCATTAGGCCCTGGCATTATAATATTCCATGAAACTAGATATACAAAACCTCTTGAATCAAGTAATTAATTTTTTTATCTATTTTTTTTATAAACATTAATATAGTACGAAAAATATTATAATAAAGTATGTTATATAAATATTTTTTACATTTTAAGCATTAAGTGAAAGTGTTGAGGATCAAATAAGGACAAATTTTCGTAAATTAAATATGAACATAGATTCGTTTAGTTCATTACAATATATAGGTATTCAAACTGAAGGTACTAAATCGACAAATTATAAAAGAATAAAAGATGTTATAAAAGCTGAAATAGCTAATACAACAGTAAGATCTCATAGACAACCAAAGGTTATTTTCAAAGCAATACGTGCATTAAATTTAAAATTTTCTGGGGAAATTGCTGATAGAGATATAAATCCATTTCCAGAGCAATATTTTTCTTGTAATAACAAATGTGAATCCTGTGATAAAAGATGCGAACGTTCAATGGGTCATTTAAATGATGGAGAAGAACATGAAAACTCACAATTGTGTGTGTATCAACATCAATTGGACAATAAAGTATATTTATGTAAAAAATGTCACAAAAATGGTAAAAAGGTATTTTACTGTTGAATTAGAAAACGAATTGAATTAGAAAATTAATTTAAAAAATGTCTTTTTTTTAGGTTATTGTAACAAGTAATCTCCAATCAAGCACAGAGAGTTCATGGACAGGACTTGCTAAATATGCATGGAAAGGTGCTGTAATTGAATGTCCAAATTGTGGAGAAATTTACAGATCACGACAATATTGGTATGGAAACAAGTCGCCAGAGGATATTGCAGTTAGGTACAAAAAACTTTGTATAGTTTTTAAAATAATTTAAATGTTACATACATATATATATGTATTATTATTATTACTTAATATATGTATATTACTTATGTATATGTATTTTATATTTATGTATTATTTTGATGAAAATCTATCATTTTACATTATCTCAATATTTCCTTTTTATGATTTACATACAAATATATTTTAGTATGTAAATAATACATGCTAACTTTATTTGTACCTATGTAATAATGATTATAATATTAATGACGCAAATGTTTTTAAAAAAATACTACGCAAAAATATACATATACATACATGTATATATTTTTTTAAATAATTGTTTATTTTATTGATAAAAAAAAATATTCAATAAAAATGTTTGACAAAATTATTGTCTAACTTTTTTCTAATTTTTCCAACTTCAATATATATTAATTTACTTAATTCAAACTTACTTATTTTAAACTATTTAGATCCGAAATAGTTCATGTTTGGAAAGGAAGAAGTATCAAATCAAAAGATGAGGTACCTTCTGGTCAAATTTTACTTGACAGTGTGAATTACATTAGTGGAGCTATTGGTAATGTTGTTCAACAACCGACAAAAGCTATTACTGATTGGGTAGCTGACAAGACTGCACCGAGTTATTGGATACCAAATTCGGAAATCATGGTAAGAATATGGATTCGTTAAATTTATACATAATATTAAATAAGGTTTACCCAAATACAAATATACAAACAGGATTTTATAAGTTTAATCTTTTTGTAGCACTGCCATAATTGTCGGAAAAATTTTGAAAAAACTGGTTTACTTAAACATCATTGCCGTTGTTGTGGACAAGGATTTTGTCATAATTGTTCTAAGCACAAAATGCCCGTACCTCATCGAGGCTGGGGGGATGTAAATGTTCGTGTATGTGATGAATGCAGACAACAATTGATTAAAGGGGACTCCAAAATATCTAGTTAGTAACAAATTGTTTTTACCATAAACATTTTTAATGAAAATATCTATTTTAAGATTCTCAAAATGGTGACGAAAATGATATAACTGTTCGTAAATATGGGGAATCAGTTATTAGCGCTTTATCACAAGTAGCAGTAGTTTTAGAATATCCGAAAGGTAACATTTCTTAATTACTCATAATTTAGTTTCTATTTTCATGTTATTTTTAAATTCAATTATTGTTTTATAGATTTTATAAAAGATAGTGCACGACCTTCCTATTGGGTAAAAGATTCTGATGCACCAAATTGTGCAATATGTAAGATATTATTTGGTACTGCGGAAGAGCTGGAAAAATTTGCAAAAAATTGTCAGAATGCAGAAAAGCCTGTAAGGCAAATTCCTGGAAATAACTGGCGGCATCATTGTAGACAGTGTGGTGAAGCAGTATGTGATAATTGTTCAATGAATCGGCGACCGGTACCAGAACGAAACTGGCCAGGTGATGTTCGTGTTTGTGATGTGTGCTATAAAGAGAAAGCAAAAATGAATTGACAGTTAAATTTAACCTGAAAAATTAAATACATTATATTGTTGCTCCATTTTTAAATATGAAAAAAAAAAAATAAAAAAATGTTACTAAAAAACAGCACAGTATGATTTTTAGAGTAGGTGATGGTGTTATTTAAAAAAATAAGTCTTATTATCTAGTTTGCTTATTTAAAATTTCAAACGATAAAATAGATAATGTGATATGTAAATTAGAAATATATTTGCAAACATTTTATTTACGAAAAATGAGATAAAAAAATATAAAATTAAAAACTAATTTGATTTTTTTAGATTTTTGCGAACTACTACTAATTCTTTTGGTTAAATTTTTTAGATTTTTACATAAGAATTCATGATTTTACATAAAAGCTCATATATGTATAAAAATTACATGATTTCCTGTAATTACCAGTTTAATCAGTAAAACACAAAAAAATTAAGGTTGCCTAATTATAAAATGTTTTTGGAAACATGTACGATAAATTTTTCAAAATATGTGTATATTGCAAAATTTTTAATGAAACTAGATGACCATATTGTATATAAAAGGTACATACACACGTATGCGGTAAATATGGCTCATAAAAAGAAGTGAAACTGTGTGACCGGACACTTATTATAACGCTAAAAAAGAACTAGGCTGGTTTATTCCATAAAAACAGCTTATCAAGTTTTAATAGAACTTCATATGGTATCAGATACGAATTACTAAATCTGTTCACAGCAGTGTGTCAATGCTATACACACATACTGTTGTACATAATTTCGTAATTTATTTTAGAAACCATATTGTGAAAATTCGAATTATAATATTAAAATTCTACTACTAGTAGTTACAACATAAACGGCAACTCAGTCTATGGTCATTATGTCAAAATTGCGTACTTTTTATTAACAGCATAATGCTACAGTACTTGCTAATAAAATTGTAACAGTAATTTTCGATTTCGACTCTGGTTGAGAAAATGCTCGGATGTAAGCGGTATGCAGTGATCAAAGCTATCGCCTTGTCGGTACAGCGAATAATAATATAATTGATGCTTCGATAAAACAATGAAAATACTTTTTTAGTTCCCATTTCCAGTCTAACATTTGGAAAATCTAATCTTTTGCAATTCCCGCTGCAAGTTTGGTGACACACATTTAAATATATGGAACCACAGCTAATGGAAATACTCAAAAAATGATTGTATTATCAATTTTTTGCAAAACAATTTACAAAGTGTTACTGTATATATAAAAAAAATTTCAAACTATAATTTGAACCACTTTTTCTGATAAAGAAGGTGAAAATCATAATCAAAAGGTCTTTCGTTTTCAAGAATGTTTGATAATTTTTGCACGTGTGGAAGAGTTCAGGTTAAAGATTTAGTATCATACAATGAATTTGACTAACTAAGTGTTCTATATCGGTTGGATAAATTTATGAACAAACGGTATAAAAAAAAAAGGAATTCACTTTCCCCTTATTAAAAAAATTTTATGAGAATAAATTTGTTCAAATTGTTTTATCTAGCAATAGATGGCACAATTTTTTTTTGAAAATTCCTATTTCTAAACGTCAAACGTCATTTAGTTGTCAATTGTATGAAAAAATTCGACTTTTTTCATTAAAATTTTTACTTTTTTTTCAAGTAGCGACGACTCTAACGAGCAATTAAGAAAATATAAAGCATAAGCTTACATCGCGTGAAATATAAATTTATTTCTGTAATATATCGCCATTACGATTTAAAAAAGTATTAAAAAGTATTTTAATAAACGCTTAAAATCTGTTTTGTTTTGACACAAAGCATGTTTTGACACTTGATTAGCTTAAAAAATATCTAAAATTTTTAGGCGTTCCTCTTTAAAAGCAATAATTTTTAAGTGAACCAATAATTCAGAGAAATATATTTAGTGGGTATTGTGATACACACAAATTAAATTGTTTGATTATGATCGTTTCATTATAATAAACTTCTATTTTTAGCACTTTTCCAAAAATTTTTTGAAAAAAAGTGCTTATTAGTTTCACTCTGTCCGTCCGTCCGTCCGTCCGTCCGTCCGTCCGTCCGTCCGTCCGTCCGTCCGTCCGTCCGTCCGTCCGTCCGTCCGTCCGTCCGTCCGTCCGTGTGTCTGTTTACAAAACTTCTACATTCTTAAAGATCGAAAGCTGAAATTTAATACGTACATAGATCTTTACTAGATACTTATTTTCGTAGAACAAAATTTTTACCTATCTCCCCCCCTATAGAAGTTATACCCCCCTAAAGCACTAAAAATGGCCTATTTTAACTATTTATTGCAATGAAACCATAAGCATTTTTGAAATTTTTCAAACGCAGAAAGGCAGTGGCTTGCTTCCCCTACCGCGGTATACTATAGCTAAACTTTAGAAAAACAAAATGGCCGTTCAAATTTACCGTTATCTGCAGTCCTTTTTTTCCAAATTTTTGATGTCGTTTTTCTTCTAGACCCCAGCCTGTAGAAGCTTGAAATTTTAAGAGCTTTTAGACATTAACAAGTAGTTCATTTCGTTAGAAGAAAATTTTTTTCTATCTCCACCCCCTCTCAAGTTATGGCCTCTTGAAATTTGTAAAATTTGCATTTTTGACACCTTATATTTTTGAAACCGCAAGCTTTTTCAAATTTCTATAAACGCAAAAAGTTAACGGTAAATTCCATGACACTAAAAAATATAATTATTTTTCTTAACTCACACAATTAACCCTTAAAATCGAGCATTATGTTAACCCCTGTTTATATTAATTTTTGCTTTATTTTAAAGACTGCATAAATGGTTCATCCTAAATATATGCAATCCTAGAAATAGTTTCGTTTATAAATGAAAATAAATTTTAATAGTGTGGTGGATATACATAGACTATTTTTAAAAGCAGTATTTTCACTTGTTGAAGGGAAAAGTGCTACAATACAAACCATTGGTTTGACCCAACTTTATAAATAGTAAAACTAAGTAGGGAAATGTGATGTAACCTATTGAATGTTGTATATTTGTTGATATCAAAACATTGCAAAGAACATTCAAATATTAAATAAAATTTTCAGAAATAAGTGGCAACTGAGCTCATTTTGAGATAAATATATACGTATTTTGTAGTATTGAATAATTTAAAAATTCAATTGACACTAAAAGCTAAAGAAAATAAACATAGATAAAAATATAATTCGAAGTTTAAATAAGTATTGCTTGCTTTTAAATTAAGGTAATTTTTTTGTTTGCTTTAAAATTATTGAATTTTTTTAACTGAGCATTTTGTAATAAATTAAATATTTATTTTTAGATTGAAAGGAAATTTAATATGAAACAATTTTATTGCATTGATTATAAGTTACCTATAATGGACACATACTTGATAAAATGTTATTTTCGCAAAAACCAATTTTAATTGAAAATTTTAATCTTAAATTCCATTAAGTAGTATTGAAAAAATAAACATTCGTTTAATTAGAGTGATTTAAGCGTCAATTTGTAAGATGAATGAAATGCAAGATTCAGATTCTGAATTTTCAGATTCCTCCGGTAGCGTTACTTCATCAAGTTCAAGTTCCTCTGAATCAACAAAAAATGATAATTCCTTGGAATTGGCTAAAATATGTGGCCAAACATTGCATTTACCAAAAGGATTGTGTGAAAATGAAGATATTTTCAAAGAATTTTTTTCATTAGACACTTGGAATCAAGTTCCTTCAAATTTTCAAGCATTTTTGAAAAACAAATTTTTACCAGTTTTTCCTGAAGGTGCCAATAATGAAATGGAACAAACTAAAACCATAAAAATGCTTTTTAACAATGAAATCAATAGTTTTAACAAATCCCCTTTGAGTATATTGCAAAAGAATTTAGAAGATGGAAATTATAGACCGGATTTAATAAAAATAAGAGAAAGCATTGAAAAATCCAAGCGCATTGAAAATAAATTTAAAGAATGTGAAAGAGTTAGCAAACTATCTAAAACCTTAATGATTTCCCGTGAGAAATTATTAAGGGCAGCCTATAATACTCCGCCAGGAGAGCAAATAAAAGTTGATAGAACATTACATGATTCTACAAATATTTTAGACGGAAATGTTGCTGGGTTAAGAGCTAAAAAACGTTATTACGACGAAATTACTAGTTTAGCAAAACAAATTGGTTTAAGTGATTGTTCAGACGATGAGATAAAAGAAGGAGAAGAATTACTAGAAGCAGACAATTTTGTTAAAAAAAACTTGGTATATTTTGAAAAATACTAAAATATATTTTTCTTATTCGCTTTTAACATTTTTTTGATACAAAATTAACAATGAATCTTATTCCAGGGAAACTTCCCACTTCACCCAGCAAATGAACTTAAAATAATCGGAACAATGACGAAAAGGGGTCGATTTAATGGGTCCTCAATTACTGATTTTAAAGTAAGACCAGCAGGTTCAATGCACGATAATCATTTAAGACAAATGTTATTTACACACAAAAGAAGAAAAATGGAGGAGCCGGTGTGTTATATTCATAAATTATATATATATAAAAACCAAATTTTTATCCTATCTCCTTATGGTTGTTAATAAATTTCTTGTATTTTTTTCATTTCATAGGATCGACCAGAATTTGAAACAAGTGATGTTAGATTAATTGATATTAATAACAGGGTAGAAATGACTGGAAGCAATTATAGAAAAGAAATTTTGGCTCCACCGAAAATAAGAAAAGTGATTACAAAATCCATTCCTTCAATGAATTCAGGAAATATAACTGCTCATAAAAATCAGTTTAGTTTATTAAAGAAATCTCAACTAATAAACAACGGCAACAGTAATCAACAATTAAATAAGCAACAATCCTTGCTAAAAAGTGTCGTGATACCAACAGATCAAAAGAATACAGTAAGACCACAAAAGGAACAAATAACTTCCAACGCACAACTTTCAAGTGAAAGCGAAAATGAAATCAATGTGGATGTGCTTAATACAAATCCACCAACCATTCGTTCAATGGGTATAAACAATCCGAAACAAAAACCAAATATAACACGCGATTCCAATGAAGATTTAATTAAAAAACCAAAAATTGTTTGCAAGAAACCAGGATCAGTCGCTGAACATTATAACCAGCGAATAAATAATATAGAAAATAAAGACGTTGACAAGAAATGTATGGATAATGGTTTTACAAAAATTCACCCGATGTCTATAGACGATTTAGATGGAATAGATATGATTAATCTTCCAGTCAGTCTAACAGATACTGTACTTAACGAAGAAACAGTTGTGCATGATGCAAATCATTACACATTAGGTAAAGATATCTATTTTTCTAAAAAAAAAGTTTAAAATCAATATTTATTTCAGATACTAAAAATAATCAAGGAATGCCAATAATTAGGAAAGCTCGACAAGAACAACAGACACAACAACATGACAGCAACACTGATATTCCCCAGCAACAATCCAATATCACTATTAGCCCAGAATTGATGCAGGAAACACATGCTTGCTATTTATCTCTCATAAGAGATATATTTTGTTCTACACCTGACCATCGAATGAAATTAGATGAATTGAAATCAAAAATACATTTATGGCTCTCAAACCCCATAACAGCTCTAAATGATTGGTATAATCAAGCTGATAATTGGTTAAATTTACTGCCATCAGCAATACACTTTTTATCAGGGGAATTTGCTGATCAACCTGAAGAATTTGTTCCTTACATAGAATTTAAAACCCAGTTAAATATTTATCAATGGATAGGTGCCGGACGTGATTCGGATTCTCATCTCTTGAACTTGTGCCAATACTGGTTGTCCAGAAAACATGAAATGGGCATCAAACCTTCAAAACCTAAAGTAGAAAAAGTTCGTGCCGTTGAGTCAAAAACATATGAGTATGAAGATAATTTAATAAATGAAAAACCACTCTCCCCGCCTCCTCCAAGATGCCCCACTAATTGGACCGTACAACCTGCTAATGCTGAAGAAATTGAAGAATTTCGTGTTCAGGAACGACAGCGCTTCGAAAATCCACATAAAGCTTTCACATATCGGATGTATGGATACGAAAGTGTAGTTGGCCCTGTAAAAGGAGTATATACACAAATATTAGCTTTAACAAAAGCGAGAGGTCACAATATGTTAACGGCAGATCGTCCAAACTTTGTAACGATACTGACTTTAGTACGCGATGCAACAGCAAGGTTACCAAACGGTGAAGGTATATTTCACAATTTCATTAAATAATAAATTTTAATAAAATATGTATATATATCTAAAACCTTTTAGGTACACGTGCCGATATTTGCGAGCTTCTTAAATGCTCTCAATATATAAATCCACAAGCATCCGATAACATACTTCAAACTATTGTTAGCGGAGCTTTGGACAGAATGCATGTTGAAATTGACCCTTGTGTACGTTATGATGCGAAAAGAAAAATTTGGATTTACTTACACCGCAATCGAACGGAAGAGGAATTTGAAAGAGTACACCAGCAATATCAAGGTGTAACAAAAAATCAAAAGAAATCTACTACTAGAAAGTTGAAACATAAGCAATTGAAATCGGAAAACTCATTGCTTATTCAAAATCAACATCCAGCAAAACCTCAGGCAATATTGCCGCCTTTGTCTGTATGTGGTCAATTTCAAATATCGCAAGGCCAGCATAATATAACACAACAGGCAATAACCAACTCCATTTCGAACTCTATTCAAAACGTAAATCCTTTAACTAATAAAACTCAAACGATTTCTCAAAACAGTCCCCAAGTTGCTGTTGTTGCACCTCTGAAAATTTCTCCTCAAAAGGGCTCTGGAAATATGGCAAAACCAGAATTAGTGCCTTTGAAAACTATTCAACCCCAGTTAATATTGGATACAGAACAAGATATAGATGACGCTGTAGTTGATTTGAATGAAACTACAACATTTTTGGTACAAAAGCAATTTTCGCAAAAATTGTTAAATTCCAATAATAAAACTATCAGCGTAGCAAGCATTTCACCAAATGTTGCTGGACATACCCCAATAAAACACTTACACTTGCAACAAAACCAGAAACTGATAGGAAGCTCGAATCAAAGTGGAACAAATTTGATAAACAGTGTAATAAATCAACAATGTGGCACAACAGAAATGAAATCACAAATTATATCCCCAATATCTTCGTCGCTACCACAGCAAATACTCGCAAGTCCAACTCAACAACCACAACAAACCATATCTGCATCAAATACTCAGTTTATTGTAACGAATAAAACTAATAAAACTGGAAAACCAATTTTGATTCAGAGTACTAATAATAATGGTCAACAAGTAATAACCCAAATTCGACCAAGTAACGCCCAAGGACAACAACAAGGGTTCATAATTCCTTTGAACTCGGATCAATTTCAAGCTATTTCTAATCAACTACCTCAAGTTTCTTCTAACAGTAATCAATCAGCTCTGATTTCTAGTTCAGCTAATAGTCCAAAACTGCTAAAATCGGCCACTATAACAGCAAACCAGGTTTCTCCTCCAGCTTTGACTGCAGTATCTCGACCTGCAACAATTATTCAACAAACTAATCCTATAACTGGTAAACAGCAATTTATTAGAATAGCTACAACTTCAGCTGCTGGAAAAAGTTTGTTGAATCAAAATCAAATTACCGTTCATCAACAACCCAAAATTGTAAATAACTTACAATTAGAGGTTGATACAGGGGATACTTCATCTGGTTTCAATCAAGAGGGTAGTGCAACTAACGTCCAACAAAAAATATCTACAGGCACTGTAATGATTCGCCCTCAACTAACAAAAACAGCCCTTACAACTGGTTTGTCTCTAATAAACAATCAAAATGTGCGTATAACGCAGCCAAGGCAAATATTACAAGTTCAACAGAAGCAACCGCTACAAAAATCTGGCTTGTTACAACAAAACGCTTTAGTAATATCTGGTAATCAACAAAATCAACAAATTCAAACGAAAAATGTAATTCTTCAACAACAAACATCTCAACAAGCACATCAACTACAACAGCAAACAGCACAAACACAGCAAGTTCAAAAAATTATCAATGTGTCGGCAGCAAATTTGCAAAATTTAATTACTGCAACTACGCAAGGGCAAACTAACATAATTTCGCCCCAAATTATACAACTTCACCCACCAACTAGCAGTGCTAGCGCGAATGGATCTGGAACTGCTAAGATACAAACATTTAATGCTAACATTTTACCTAATTTCAAGACGCAAAATATACGTTTGCAAAGTCCAATTTCCACACAAGGAAATCAGCAGCAACCCATTATTATCAAACAACAAATGCTTCAGCAAATTCAGCAGAAGCAAAACATAGGGATAAGCAAAAATACTGGGACGGTTTCGATTGGAACGAATTCTAATAAAATTTCTGGAAAAAATGTTCCTTCTTTAACAACTACTAACATAATAACTGCGAATTCATCATCACTAGCCCCGGGAACAATAATTCAAACTTCGCCACAAACAATTGTAAAGCACTCAAATATAATTCAACAGCAAAATAAGCAGTTTACAATTGTTTCGTCACCACAGCAATTGCAACAACAGCAATCGCAAACAGTAACAAGGGTTGTTAAGTCTCTTTCTAGTGGTGTAGGAAACCCAGTATTACAATCAAATCAAATTGTTCAAACTTCGGTTGGAAATGTTGTTCGAACACAAAATTCCACAGGAAATCCTGTTATGGCTAAAGTAATCACAAATAATACAGGACAAATTATATCACTTGAAAGTTTGTTGCAAAAGCAAGGTATCGCACCTGGGACGACTTTACGAGTTGCTGGAACGAAAAGTGGACAAACTAATATCATACAGTTAACAAATCAACAGCAATCAAATAGCAATAATAATAATAATATTGTTGATGGTATAACACAACCTGTAACACAATACGCTGTTGTATCTCAAGGAAGAAATTTAATTTCCATGACTGGAACACCCCAACGACTTATAACAACTCAAGCTTCAAATACTGTTGTAACAAATTTAGCTAACAGTACAGTTTCAAATGTTAAAACAGTTTCTTCAATAAGCGCCTCAACTGCAACAAGTTCGGGAAATCAAATTCCAGTACAAAGTGTGTCAAAAATTATCAATGCCAACCAACTGACACCACAACAAATAGTAAGTGCGAAAGTTTTGGGGAAAAATAATACGAGTAATATTAGAATGAACTTAGCGAATTTACGAGGTAAACCTGTTATCATAACTAATAAGCAAGGAACTCAGCAGAACAACACAACAGCCCAAAATGTACAATTAGTACAAAATAATCAAGTTGTTAATAGTGCGAATTCGACTAGTTCCGGAAATATTGTAATCGGTGGGCAAACTCTCAAAGTTCAAGGAAACATGATACCAGTAATTTTCAAAAATTACTTCAAAGTTAAAATAGTTTTATTTTATTATTTTTATATTTTAGGGAAATATTCAAGTTTTAAATCAGAGTTCGTCACAACCTCAAGCGGTTATGTTAGGTAATCAAATTCTTAAAGTTGCTCAATCACCAAATGTCAGGCAAACAGTTGCTGCAAATATAATAAGTAGCTCTATAAATAACAGAACGAACACTTTGAGTGGAACAAATACGTTAACGTCAATAGCAAGCACAAATTCGGGAACTATGGTTGTTAATAGTAGTAATACTGTCGTGGCTGGTATCAGTCAAAATACAGGCGGTATCCAAAATAAAACAGTTGTATTAGGCTCTACCGGTCAACCAATAAGAGTCCAATCAGGCCAAATACAAACTGTTGCTATAGGAAATAGTAATAACTCAAGTGGGATTCAGCAACAAAACCAACAGATAATTTTAGGGCATCCAATAAAAGTAATAATATGGTTAAAATATTGAAATAATTTTTAATGTAATATTTTTTTTTTGTTTTAATCAAAGGGTACGCCTTTGAAAACAACAGGTCAACAAAGAGTTGTATTAGCCGTACAAGGAGGTGGTCAAATATTGCTGCCACCTGGTTTTCAAGGTGGATCACTTAATTTAAAATCACTGCAAGGTTTAAAAGTTGTACAAGTTGGACAGCAAAATCAACAACAAACTATCCAACAATCTCAACAACAAAATAAAGGGAAAAATTAACTTGATTAATTTATTTAGAAATTAAGAAAAAAACAAATAAAAATTTGAATAAAACTTATTACAATTTTAGTTTTTTTTTTTTTCCAAAATTAAAAATTTATATTATATTATGTACATAAACAAATTTTAAAATTTTATTATACTTATAATAAATTTTCATTTTTAAGTTTATTTAGAAAATAAGTTGGTTTTTGAATTTTAATTTACAAAAAAAAAAAAAAAATAAAAAAAAAAACAAAATGTGAATTTTAAATATTCAAAAAATAAATATATATGTAATTAAATAATGAATAATAAATTATAAATAATTTCTTTAAAAAAATTAATTAGAATTATAAATATTAGGTTAAACCAAGGTTCATTTTTTTTTGTTAGTAGTTTATATTTTAAAGAAGCTTCTTTATAGAATTAACCTTTATTCAGTTTCTTTTTGTAGTTATGTATTTCTCAATTAAATTAAATGTAAATAGAAATATGAAGTTATTATATAGAAGCGTAATTATATAATATAATGATTATATAAACCGAATAATAAATATGTTAAAATATGTCTAAATTTGTCAAAATATTTTTTTTTTTGAATTTTATTACGGATTTGGATTTTGTTATTACTTTATTATAATATTTATATAACTTTGTGAAACTCTAAACTAAATATAACTTTGTGATGAAAGTTACGGTATTGCACGGCGATATAGAAAACTCCAGTTTACTTGTTTGCATTTCACAATATATTTAATTAATATATTAAACTCATCTAGGTACTTAATTAAAACTTACCCGGAAAATTTTTTTATCTGGAAAGTGAAATTAATATCTGCTATTTAACTGATGTTTAAGATCGAATCAATCTATCTTATTTAAATAATCATAATTTTGAACAAAAAGAATGTCATAAGGAGTGTAAAAAGGTTATGTTGTGACATATTTAGTGGCACACTAAAATTCTATACTCATTTTTAACTTACTATACAATAAAAAATATATTTGGCCTTGTTTTTGTACATCTTTTCATTTGAAGTGTAGTCAATATATATATACATATCTACTAATAAAACCAAATCGTTCTGGTTTTCTACTACCTAGATGGCAAGACCCAACGAACCTACGTGCCAGTTTTGGAAAAAAAAATTGATAAAATTTCAAACGTGCCAGGGTTCAGCGAAAAAATGTCAGAACATTTTTTTGGTCAATGAATTAATGAAATGAATCAATGTCGATTGTAGGAAATTAATTCGATATGACTTTGATGAAAATAAATATTTGTTTTCCTGGAATATTTCAACCTTATAAAGCAATTTTTATATGAGTTAAATAAAATTAACTATTTCGAATAAATTTCCTTTGGAAACTAAATTTCAATTTTATATGAAATGGTTGCTGGGCATCGCCGTTGAAATTTTAAATCGATAGTTTTTTTCATGAAGCCGTTGAAATTTTGAAGCGTTAGTTTTTTTTCGTGAGATAATAAATGGTTGGTTGTTTATTTTTAAATTTTTCAAGTAATGGGATCAGTAAGATGAAAAAATTTTTTTTTCAATTCGATATGAAAAGTTGAAAATTTCTCGCGTGCCAAGGAAAATTTGAAACGTGCCAGTCTTGGCACGCGTGCCATTGGATTGCCATCTAGGTTCTACTAAATAGCCAAAATCTTTTTTTTATAATCGGAATTGTTCAACGCGTACGCGAAATCTATTTTTAAAGTATAGTACGTTTTACGAAGATGGAAAATTTTATTATAAAATTTAACATTAATTTGATATAATCTACATACACTTCAAAGGAAATAATTATAAAATATGAATAACTTTTTAAGCTTGTCGGAATTAAAAATTATCTGTAATATCTTTAAGTTGTATTTAATATCAATATTCTTGAAATCTTAAAAAGCTATGTTAAAAAAATTGTACATTATCTAAAATTTAAAGTACAATGTATAATTTTTCAAATTACTTTTCTGATTAATTTAATTAAATCGTAAAAAGGGAAATCCAAAATGATCAAATGTTACGCACTCAATTTAGAAGTTATCAATAAAAGCTGACAATACCAATCGGACTAAAATTATCGAGCGCATAGATTAAATTTTTTTTTTAACAATATTCAAAATATGATAACTGCCCTTTTTTCTTCTTATGAATTCAAGGAATAAATTCAATATAAAAGTAAGTAATTTTCGTTTATTAAAATAGTATGCAATTTGTATTCATAATAAAAATTACTATTATTAATAGTAAAAATTAAAATTTTTTAAAAAATTTAATTATACTTAAACAAATTATTGGCAAATAAAATAATAATATGATTTTCAAAATAATTTCATTTTTAATATTATTGGTTTCTGTTCAATCATTTAATATTAATGGACGTATTGCACAAGGATATGACGCAAAACCACATAGTGCCCCATATATGGTATCAATTCAAGTAAACATTGGAAATGGAAAATATCATCATTCATGTGGTGGAGCTATTATTGATTCAAATTGGATATTAACTGCTGCCCATTGTTTACATGATGATGAAAGAACATATAATTCAATGTTAAAAGCTGGACGTCATCATATTAAATTAGATAATGAAGAATATGCACAACATAGAAAAATTAATTATTATAAAAATCATGAAAAATATCCTGGTGGAAGTGTTGTTGCACCATTTGATATCGCTTTAATTCACGTTGAAGAACCATTTAATTGGACTGATGGTGTAAAACCTATTTCATTACCAAAGATACAAAATGAAGTTGCAACTGATTGTGCTAAATTATATGGTTGGGGCTTATTAGCAGAAAATGGTAAATTTCCTGATGTTTTACAAACTGCAGATTTACCAATAATACCATTAGAAGTATGTAAAAGTAAAGATGTATTTGGTGAACTTGTACATGATACAAATATTTGTACAGTTGATCCAATGGGAATGAGTGCATGCAGTTCTGATTCTGGTGGTCCATTAGTAAAAAACAATAGTATTAATAATGAATTAGAAATAGTTGGTGTTGTTTCATGGGGTCCACCATGTGGTAGAATGGATAATAAAAGTATATCAGTTTTTGTACAAGTATCATCATTCTTAGATTGGATTAGTAATGTTAAAAATGATTTTGAAAAACAAAAATTAAATTAATTGTAATAATTATGTAATTAGGTATAATTAAAATAAGAAATGAGAATTTAATGTAAGAAATTTATTTATTAAATAAAATAATTATAAAATAATTAATATAATTTTGTTTTATACATATCACTTACATATATGTAAAGGACTTATTTCAATATGAGTAAAACCTTTAATGATGTGTTTGAATTGTATTATAGCTGATCTCTACATCTTTATATGAACAACATACTATTTGACTTTATATAGAATAACATACTATTGATTCCTATATTAGTTCAACTACAGTACCTACAGAAATTTAACTCTCATTACTAAGAGAGTAAAATTATATAGATTTATTATTTAAAAAGTATTTATTGTTCTTTTGAAGAATTTCACATTTTTTATGATTTGAAAAATATTTTGTATTCTGCAAAAATAAGTTTCTGTAATGAAAACTACAAGGTAAAGGGAGAATATTAAAATATTTGTTGAAGAATTGTAAAACTTTATTTATGATTTATATAAGTGAATTCGGCCCAATTATTCTTTTAAGGTCCAAAATTATAAAAATTTTTAAATAATTAAACTTTATAAGTCTTTGAATAGGTTTTTAACTTCTTCTGAATTGCATATGTACATACTTATGTTCACTCGGTACCAAATTTTAAAATACACAGATCTGATTATTCCACAGGTCTGATAAAATGAGATGGCATTTTTAATTTAAAGATATTTTATAAACCATTGCGAGTATATTTAATTGAGTTCAGTAGCAAAACTCTAGGGCACTTCAGGGATTATTTTTGCAAATTTTTCAATTTAATCTTAGGTATGTACTTTCTTGCATATGAATGAACGCAAAACGTTTATTGATTACCTTTAAATTCTAATTTACCTTTTAAATCTAATTAAACACAATAATTTTTCGTATATTCATTAATTAATTAAAATTGCAAATTAATAATAGGTACTTATTAATTAAAAGCTGGTACCCACCTTGAGTCTTCTAACACGCTCAAAATTTTATTAAAAAAAGAATTATTAAAATTTACAGTCTCAATACAGTATCCACTTTTACCATTACCACAATAGTAGTTTTCAAAGACAGTTGAATGGTAAACCACAATAGTAGTTTTCAAAGAGAGATGAACAAACAATAGCATGAATTTCAATTTTTTCTCGTAAGTGTAATGAAAAAGTAAAAATTCTAATTTAAGTTAAATTAAACCTTTAAGAGCTAAAAAGTATTAAAATTAAATTAAGAGTTTAAAATAAAATATGTGTATTAAAATTTGTTTACATTAGATATAATTTAATAAATTTAAATTACTATAAGCAATCTCTATTTCTTTAACTATTTACGAAGTAGAAACGTGCTGATTAAATATCAATATACGATATAATAATTAAAATTAAAGGAACATTTCAATTATTATCGTATATAAAGGTATAAGTGGCATGGATTAAAAACTGCTTTAAATAAATTAGTTACGATTTCGATCAGCAAAAACATACGATATTCGATCAGCTTATTATATTACTAAAAAAGTATGTAAGTACATTTTAATTAAGTGGAATAAAAATAAAGCAAAAGAATATTTTTAATTTAGAATTACTAATTTAATATTAAAGTTTTTTTTATAAAATATTTGGTCAGCATAATTTTATTTATTGAGTACATATATAATGATTAAATTCTTTAATTTTCGAAAAATTTCATTAATAAAGCTTTAATAATTATTTGAAAATTGCAAATCAGCAGTTTTCGGTATTTTTCAATTTAAGAAAGTGGGTATTAATTTTGTAGAAAACAAAAATAAATAATTAAGTATTTGATTTGATAAATATTTCTTAGGAATTTAAAAATTAATTAATAAGTTTAATTTTTTTACTTATTCTTGTGGTTAAAAATAGTATTTTCTGATTTTACTATAGGTTTTTGTTGAAGTTATACATAAATTTAAAACTAAATTATGACATTCCTGCAAAATGACATTCCCGTCGGTAACTTAAAACATGAAGTTATTCTTAAATAATGTAAGGCTACAATTTAAGCTCTTATAAATGCCTTTTGCTCCATTTTAATTTAGTAAACATTTTTAAAACCAATAAAATCAAAACAAAATTGAAATGCAATTAAAATAACTTTTTTAAAACATGTTTTTCTGTTTTCTAATACATATTTAAATTATTTAAAAAATATTCGATTTATAAAAAAAAAAAAATACATATATTCATTTTATTCAGCTACTACATCAATTTCATCTTCATCTTCATCACTTGATGTTCTATTATTGGTATCTTCTATTCTTCTTAAATTACATTTAAAATTTTCTACTTGCTTTTCTTGGCCACTCTTTAAATTCTCTTGTGTATGCCTCCATTTCATTCTTCTATTTTGAAACCATACCTTAACCTTAAATCAATTAAAAAAAAACAAATAAATAAATACACAATATTATTTAAATACTTAGAAATTCAAAATATATACATATACTTATATATAGATACCTGTGCATCAGTTAAATTTAATCTATTAGCCAATTTTCTTCTATCCGGTTTTGTTATATATTTTTGTTGTTGAAATTGTATTTCTAATCCTTTTCTTTGTAAATTACTAAATACAGCTCTAGACCATGAACGTTTCCTTTTACTATTATTATTATTAGAACTTGTTGCTATACCACCATTCTGATGATGTTGATTTATATTATTACTATTATTATGATGTATTGAATTATTTATTAATGTTGAATTTGATCTAGATGAATTCGATAATGTTGAAGATGTTGTTGATTGAGATTGTTGTATTGTTGTAGATCCTATTTGACAATTATTATTATTCATTTGTAATGAATTTGTAAATGATTTTATATTATGTTGAATATTATTTGATCTATTAAATGTTATATCGGTTGGTTGAAGTGATTTAAGACTATGTAATGGATTCATCATATTAAATTGATTTGCAAGCTGATGAAATTTTAATACTGTTTGATAATTATTTATAATATTGGCAGTTGTTGTAGAATGTGATGATGCTTTTTATTATATATATACATATATATATGTATAATAAATCAAAATGAAATAAAAAAGAAAGAAAAGAAAAAGAAAATATTGTTAATTTTAAAAAATTTTTATATTTAAATGCTTTTTTTTTTTATTTATTTTTCTAATATTAAATTATAATTTATGTGAAAAATTTTTAGTATAATTATTATTTATGTTTACACAAAAATGATGAGTTTTTGTGTAAACTATACATAAAAATGTTTAAAAATTATTTATTAATAAATTTTTTAAAAATTCTCTTTACATTTTAATAATATAACAAAATTAAATTGAACTATGGTATGGAATGTGCCGTTAGGAAATTTTATCATAAATCATATAGAGTCCCTAAATGTATATTATACATACATATATAGTTAAATTAAAGCTATAGGAAACCTGAAACACTATAAGAAATTCCAATTCTCAATTATAATTACATATATTTATTATAATCTCCCAACATACATAAATATTAAAAAAAAATTAATATCAATCAAAAATAAAACCGTTCTATCAATTTTAATAAGAGTACAAGAATTATTTTGTAAGTGTTATACTAATAATAAAATTGAAATATTACTTATACATATTCACAAACTGTAGATTATTTGTAAATTAATTATATGTACATACATTTGCCTCCTATTTTTATATATACATACATTATTTTATGTAAAAATATATAGACTTATTACCAAATAATTTTTAATTTTTAAATAAGAATTTTTTACTATTTCAAAAAAATATTTCATTTCAAAGATTTTGAATATTGGCAAAAACAAATAATATTTTTGTATAAATAAACTTTTGTGTTCCATTTAAAACTATATATGTAAATCCTTTAAATTACTCTAAATATATAACATTCTAGCTGTATATAACATTGTGTAGAAGAGTATTTGAGATCATAAGTAAGGCATCTTTTTTCCGCTAAGATGACTTCATATTTCTATATGGAAAATGAACATCAAATCCTCATTATATAAATTATTATATTGGTTACAGTTTTTCCATAGTAATATGTATAACAGAATTTTTCTGTATGTACGTATATAAAATAGGACTGGACTTATACAAACTATACTTAGTTCGAAGTCGTATATTCCCTCAAAATTAATATACATAGCATTTTATTATTTATTAATTATATTAGAAAAAAAAATTTATTGTATTTAAAGAAATACAACCATTTCTGACCCATAAAGAAGTCTGTATAATACTGTATTACAAACCATAGATCAGGCTATAATATTGAACTTAATATAACAAAATTAATAACAATATATATATATCAATATATTGCTATAATTAAAAATATAAGAAAAATCGTTTTTCATAACCAATTATCAATTATGTGCCTATTGAATTTTTTTTTTTTATTTTTTTTTTTTTGAGATATCAGTTCGAAATGTCATTTTTGCTTGGGTCTATATAGTGTCTATAGTATCTATATGTGTAACATATTATATCTAGGTATATACACTCATGAATATATAAATTTTTAAGAATAATAATATTTAAATTTTAAAAATTTCCTTTCCATAAATAAGACTTTCTATACATAGTGACACATATGTACATATATAGATTTTGATGTATCTGTGTACAATAAAGAACCCTAAAAATCTAATTATAACACTACTATCGATCGATGTATATACTTATGTATGTATGTATATAGTATTATCAAAAATTATTGCCCATATTATTCACTGTTTATTTGTTTAAAATGTTACTCGTATTTTTTAATATTAGAACAATAAAAAATATTTTATGCAAAATTTGCTTTTTTATATAACATTTTTTTTTTGTCTACATCAATAAAATTAAAAATAAACAAATATGATTTTATTATATTATGATTTTTATTTTTTTTTCTAACTGATATATTTAATTAACATAATAATAATAATAAAGAGAATTGATATTTTATATCCTGTGTCAATATAGCAAGCATATCTTTTAATTTTTTTGCCCAAAATGTTTATTTTAAATACATATATGTATAACAAAAATTTAATGTGATCTTTGATTTTAAAATTGGTGTGTATACCTAAAAATGGGTATTAAGTCACAAATTCAAATTTTATTTGTTTTACAACACAAAAATATTAAAGCCATTATAGAACCATAACAAAAAACAAAAAAAAACTGTTATATTGTTTTTATTTCATGGTCGAATTCATTTTATATCTTTGTTTATAAAAAATAAACTAATAATAATTATTGTATAATTCCTATTATATTAGTTTTTGTATACATAAACATTTGAAAGAAAACCTCTCGTTTATAATTTTGAAAAAGACCTTTATAGTTAAAAATTTACTTTAAAAAAAAAATAAACAAAGTAAAAAAAATACAAATTCATTCAATTCTCCTTCAATTTTTATTTGATTTAAAATATTTTCATTCTTAAGAATTGTAAGAATTTTTTGTTTTTTATTTCCACGTATAACGTACATACAATTTAATTATAATATGATTTATCTAAAAATTTAATATAAATTATAATTTATTATCAACTCTAATTCATATACGTACTCGTATACATATATTCTATAAAAATATGTGTATAACACATTATAGAAAATAAAAATTCTATTTTTGTGGTCGGGGTACCAGTCATCATAAAATAATTTTTATTTTCTATTTGTATAGTATCCCAAAATATATACCATATTCTACTCACATGTCTAATATTATAGCATTCAATTATATTTCAAAAAAAATTTCTATAAGTGGCATTTTAAGACAAAAATGTTTCTACATATAAAAAATATGTAAGTGATTCTTCCTGATTATATTTAAATATTATTGTTATTGTTAATATGAAAATTTTAAATTTGTTTGTTTATACAAATAATTTTAAAATAAAAAAAAAAATTATAAAAAATCCTTTTTTTTTTAATTCTTTTGTTCTTCTATTCCAAAATCCAACTGTTAGCAACCTTAAGTGTATAAATATACCGTACATACGTTTATATTAACAATAATTTGTTCGATATTATGCGTAAATTACGTATATATATGTGTGTGCATGTACATTAATGTTGATAAACAGAAAAAAAAACTATTATATTATTTTCTTTGATCATTTGAAAATCAATTTTTTATAATATTTTATTACTTTTTATTACAAATAATAATTATTTGTTTTAATTATTTGAAAATTATTATTATTATTGTTATAATTATTATTGTTATATATTATTATTTGTTTTCTTAATCTAATTTTTTTTCGGACAAAAATATTTTTTGTAATAATTGTAAGTATTCAATAGAATTAAGTTTATTTAAAACGATTGTGTGTATATTGATACCATACACACAGACACAAAAAGTTTATTATGTATATAATATAATAAATATTACATTATGAAATGGTATATAAAATTGAAATCAATCTCATATTGAAGAATATTATGTAATTTTATGGTATAGTACATATTTTATTAAAATTTTTAAAAAAATTCAGAATAGAAAGTATAGGCAATTTCTTTTAGATAGTACTTGAAAATTTATTTCGTAAAATTACTAAACTGTACTGTTAAGCAAATTATTTACTATTGTATATACAGAACTACAGGTTATCGATATTAAAAAACATTATGAAATTTGTTACAATTTATAATTTCCGAGTATACTTAACTCTTGTTCGTTATTGCTTTTAAAAGATTTTTAAATTTTTGAAATTTTTTTTACTTTCTAAAAGGTGTTTCAAAATTTTTATTTGTTATATTAAAAAAATCAAAATTTCTTTTTCAAAATATTTTTAATTATCTGTATACATTCTATTGTGAAATGGTTTGCTATCATGCTACAATCATATCGGTGGCTAACTGGTTATGAAAGTATCATTTCAATCAATGCTTTTACATAGCATGTAGATACATCTAACATAAAATGAGCAATAATATCAATATAACACCTTATATTAAATAGTTTTATTTACTTCATGTATATTTATATGAATATATATATATATGAATGACATATATATCTATGACACATGACATATACATATATGTCATATGTCATAGATATATGTATAGAATATGACATATATATGACATATATATATATATATATATATATATATATATATATATCTATTACTATAAATGTTATATATATAATATATATAATTTTTAAAATTATATATTTGAGCATTAAGTATAAATATATACGTTATAAATTTATGTAATGGCCTATAAAAGGATTTGAGCACTGAATAAGGTCTTTGATAATACTTCTAACTACATTTTTTTTTATTCAGTTAAAATTCAATTCATATAAATAATATCAAATGACCTTTTATTATTCATTATTGACTTTATAATAATATTTCTTCTACAAATTACTATTTCTTAGAAAATATTGGGTGTCTGCTTATAAAACAACATTTACAGTGATCTCCTGATATATGTACTAAACTCGTTTTGTTGCTGCAAAAAGCATAGCAAATTTGTTATCTGTATTTAAATTATAGGTACATCTAAAACTTTTCGTTTCAATGAATTCCCGTTTGATTGTAAAATTTTACTATTCTAAATCAAAAAAACATATGAAATTATTTTCGATTAATAAATTATTTATTTTGAAGTTCACATTTCAAAAATTTTTTTTAGAATTTTAAAATTGAAAATGGTTTTCATTACT